TTCATCAAATTCACGAGAACCCAAAGTTATTGAACCTCTTGATTCACTTTTCCATCTCCCTGTGGATACGACACCCCAAAGCTATACTACAACACCGCGTAACACTTTGGGCGTAATCACTACCCCATTTTGTTGTGGAGTGATCGACGAATAGAACTCATGTTAGATTCCCTCATCTAGGCAGAAGTTTTCAAGATTCGAGTTTTCAAACTCTTTTCTATGATCACTACGAATTCTTGATATGGTAAAGTCTTTCTCATTTATAAGCTTTTTGCACAATGATATGACAAGACTGAACACTTCAGATTTTTCTCTCAATAGCTCAATCCAAGTATATCGAGAGAAGTTGTCAACCAGAACCAATATATAACGTCAACCACAAATACTCTTAATCCTAGATGGTCCCATTAAGTCCATATAAAGTAAATGAAGAGAATATGAAAAGCTAAGTGTTTGCTCAATGATCAACCTTCAAAAAACTATTCAATAGCATTTGGTATTTATAGGTTAGGTTAAGGAATGAATGAGCCGAACAAAAAGCCTTTAAAAAATGAATTAAAGAATTTTTGGATAGCACTGTCACTCGAGAGAGGGATGAGCGATAGTCTAGTGACAGTGAAGGCGGGCGACAGGCAGGCGACACAATTTCTGTTTCTGACTCTTGAGCCAAACCTTCGCGATAAGCTAGTGATATTTCGACGCCGTTTTTCCTTCTTTTCCATTCTCGAACCCTAGACCTAACATAACACAATTTTCTACTATTTGCACATTACTCTTTGACTTTTATATCATATCAATTTAAGTCCCTTTTTTTTCACAGACTTACCAATTACATTAAATACCCAACAATTATAATTAGGTATACGTGATTTACTATATATCTTTGTTATACTTAAGTATACATGATTCATATTTTACATGAACATATAATTATGTAGAAAGACAATGAAGTTTAATAGAATTGCATGATTTGCTAAAATGAACTGTTGAAGTTAAATTCTTTATTCTTGGTTTTTATAATGGTGATTAAAACACCTTAATTAAAGCAAAAAAGAGTTGCATTTTCAAAAGTGTGACTCTAGTGCATATTCAAATACCTATTTAAGTCATGTCACTTATAAACGGTAGGTATTACAAACCTTTTCGAGACAATGGACATGGAACGAGGGTTGTCTTGTCTGATGCTAATGCCATGGCCGAAGATGTGCATCATGCATGGGACAATGCACAGATTTGGTGAGATGGAAGAACACATCGTGTTGGCATTGTGATGTGCGGGTAATAGAGGCATGTGATGCTTCATCATATAGGTAGAATTAGAGAACGGAAGTCAGTCTACATCAGTTTAAGGCATTGGTGTGAGCACAAGTGTTTGGCAGCAAGTGAAACAAGCATAGGTATGGCACACGACGGTGGTTGAAGGTATGGCACCCTAAACCCTAAGTGCGGCTAAATGCATGAGAAACTATCCTGACAGTTGGGAGTGTCAACTACAATACGAATGTTGGCTTCTAAATTCTAAGTGTTGAGGCAACATTTAGAATAGAGGAGAGTGTATTGACCCTTCACAAATCTTGTACGAGTTTTCTTTTTTTTTTTTAAATAAATAAAGTTAGGAAGGTTCTCGTAAATTTTTTTTGCTGCCTTATTACTTTAATTTTCTATTATACTTTGTCAAGCTCTGCTTGTTTTCATCATGGAAAGTGCAATTGTATTAGTTCACTAAGACAAAAAAAACTTATTGCTATTATAGATTGTGACTTAAAACCGAGACGACCCCATGACACAAGGAGTGGTATTCCATTGTTAGATCTCAGTAATTCATCTCAGATGTCCATTGAGCATATAAAAAGGGAAACTTCCTATTATTAGGTTTGAGACACAATATTCATCTCTCTACTTTCTCTCTGACTACACGAGAACCCTTCGTAAATCACTGAGTGATTTTTAATGTTCTTAGATAAATTATTTTGTAAAATAGTTAGATTATTTGTTTGTATAAGTTTTAATATAGTGAAAAAAAACATATAGAAGAGATTGAATAAGTCGAATCTTTTAATTTTAAGAATATCCAAGTATTCTACGAATGCCTAGATACTTCGAATTGTTTGTGTAGACTATTACCTTTGATTCAACAAGATAAGATCGAAATTTATCAAAGGCATATGCTGCATCTGGAAGTTCATTCTCAGTGGTAGCGTAGTTTAGTTGTGTATCATTCAATGTCTTACTTGCATAATAAATCACATGAAAAATTTTATCTCGTCACTGTCCCAATACTGCTCCCACTGCGTAGTCACTTGCATTACACATTAGTTCAAATGGCAAACTGTAATCTGGGGCAATTATTAATGGTGCTGAAATTAACTTCTCTTTTAGAGTATTGAAAGCCAATAAACACACTTCAGAGAAGTCAAAATGAACATCTTTGACTAACAGATTGCACAATGGTTTAGTGATCTTAAAAAAATCCTTGATCAATAGATGATAAAAACTCGGCGTGATCAAGGAAACTGTGAACACCCTTAATTGAAGTTGGTAGTGGTAATTTCTCAATAATTTGAATCTTTGTCTTGTCGACTTCAATCCCTTTAGATAAAATCATATGCTCTAACACGATGCCTTCTTGTACTATGAAGTGACATATTTCACAGTTTAATATCAAATTAGTTTTCTTATATCGCTGCATGACCAATTATAAGTGCTCAGATTGAGAAATCATCTATAAAGACTTCTATGTATTTTTCCTCCATATCAGAGAAGATTGTAATCATGTAATGCTGAAATGTAGCGAGAATATCGCATAGACCAAAT